AACATTCTCTCCGCAATGGCCTCTCCAACAGCCACACCGACACTGCTGACCTAACACTACCAACTATCAGATAGTATACTTACTATTCCGTGGAGAAAAACAGTAGCAGCCTCCACAGCGGCCAGATGTACATTAATTCTAGAATCTACATCGAATCTACGGTATCTACAGTAGACAACAATAGGCACGTATACCAATACATAGGCAGATGTACCCCAAAGCAAAACTTCACGTGCCACGCACGGGGTACGGAGAACAGCACATGCAGAGGTTGAACACGCCTGCATGATTCCGACAACAATTACACGCGGACTGACTAACTGACTAACTGCCTATCAAGGCCGCCTCCAGCTCACTGCGAAAGACGACAGTGTCCTTGTTGGCCTCCTCGCCCTGGCTTCCATCACCACACAAAAAGCTACGCGTCTCCTCAGCCTGGATGATGTCCTCCAAGAGTGCATGCAACTGCGGTCGCAAGGGGTCAAACTTCTCGTGCACGGCGGCTGGGTCCTGTAGCCTCCAAGTCCTGGTAAAAGCTTCCCACTTTTCCAGAGGCAACTCCCCAGCCAAGTACTCTGTCAGGCAACCGCGGGCTTGCTTCGTAACGAGGAACAGCTTGGTCTGAAACGGCAATTCCAGACTCTTCTTCTGCACGTGGAGGATGTACTTGGTCAGGTCACTGTCGCTCACGGCAGCTGCCTCGGCCGCACCGGCCAAGCCTCGACACATGTCCGCCAAATTGCAGCGCTGCTCCAAAGTCGCTGCCTCACGATCATAGCCACAGCCCTTGTCCTTCAAGGTCTTGCAAATCCGCCTGGCCTCAGACAGCAGATTGGAGACCAACCCCTGTGCTTCAATCTATTTTTCTCTGCCGCTCTGCCCGGTTGCAGGGTCTCGCCCCCGCCCGCCTTCCAACCCCTGACCCAACCCCGGTACCTGATTTTGGGGCCAGGCAACCCCCCCCTTCTCGAGCCGAGAAGGGGGGGGGTGCCAGACCCTGATTTTGGCGCTCAGACAAACCATTCTCCAGCCGAAAAGGGGTTTGTTGCCAGACATGATTTTCGGGCCCAAGACAAAGACAGGGAGAAAGAGAGAGAGAGAGAGAGAGAGAGAGAGAGAGAGAGAGAGAGAGAGAGAGAAAGAGAGAGAGAGAGAGAGAGAGAGAGAGAGAGAGAGAGAGAGAGAGAGAGAGAGAGAGAGAGAGAGGGAGGGAGAGGGACAAAGCGAGAGCGAGAGATATGAGGGTACGCCAAGCTCCGTTTGACTGGGTTGTCAAGTGATTGTGGAACCTTCCTAAGACCCAACCTAAGAAAAAACGCATTGCTTTTATTAGGTTGGGTGCCAGGATTCGGTTCATGGTTTGGGGTGCCCTTGGAAGGGTCGACCTGATGTACTGATTACTAATTACATACTTACGAGCCCCAGAAAGCGAGAAAAAGAAAAAGAGAGAGAGAGAGAGAGAGAGAGAGAGAGAGAGAGAGAGAGAGTCCGACCACGGAACCTGACCTCCCCCCAGCAGTCTCGAGAAAATTAAGCTCTGGAAGTTTATTGACAATATATTACCACAATACACTACACTAGACGTCGCGACACTCCACACAAAAACCTGAGCAAGAGCATTAATCTGTTAATCATTAATCGTTTTAGCAGCTTGGCTCAGCCGTAGCAGTTTCACACCAGCCGTTCTAAGCAGGGGTTGGGAGCTGGGGTGCACGATGAAACTCTACCGTGAGTCTCTCAAGCAGCTGCCAACTCCAATGACTGTAACTCACCGTAATTCAAGACCAAGTTGCTGCGTCCACGGTCCGCCCATTCACCGAAGGATCTTTGGCAAGGAACTTTGCGGGCTGCATGTTCAGCAGCGTCATGGGCTCCACACGCGTGAGCTGCACGTAGGCCCTCCACACGTTCTCCAGCTCGGGGTCCTCGGACTGGATGGCCTTCAGGTTCTCAGACTCCTCCATGCTCTCTGCAACCTTGGTGTACTTGGTGAATTTGACATCGCTGTTCCTGCCAACGCTGGAGCCACCATCCAGATCCTTCTTGCCCGGACCCTTCTGCTTCTTGGCCTTGGGCTCAGGCACGTCGTCGTCCGGAGCATCGTCCAAGGATCCCAAATTCACGCGGGGCTTGAGCACAGGTCCCTTGCCCTCTGCAACTAAGGCCAGGAGCTCTGTTGCCTCGCTGTTGTCGGGCTCGTCGCCCGGCTCATCATCGTCATTCTCCTCGGGCTCGCGATCCGCAGCAAGCTCGAGCGACTTCTTGTGGAGAGCGCCCCAGGTTCTGCAGCGAACCCGCTTGTTGTACTGCAGACGGTCGGGCAGCTTCTTGGCAGCCTTCTCCATCGCAAAGTCAAAGACGGATCTTCCCTGGCGCTGGCTGATTTGCTTCTCCGGGCGAAGCAGCAGCTCCGAGAGCATGATCGTTGTCTTGAAAAAGAACCGAACCTTGCGGATGCCGGGCAGGATGTACGAGGGGCAGCTGAGCAGGGAGACGAGGTAGCCGGTCACCTCCGTGCCCGACTCGTTCTTCCACTCCGCCTTCTTCAGAGGCACAGCACTCGGAGACATGTCTAGCAGGTTGCTGAACTCCGTTTCCGTCAGCAAGCCATAGTCCATGTACGTCTCGACGCCTTGCTCCTCTGTGCTGTTAACGGCAGAGGGAATCTGTATGTCAGTAGCCCCATCGCCCGTCAGATTGGCTCTGGCCGAATCAACTTGCTTCCGGAAGGCCGGGTTCCGGGCAACGTACTTTGCCACGAAGCTTTCCCAGGTCATGTCGGCAAAGGCTTGCACGTGCACGGTCAGGCAGTCAAGACAGCCTAGCTCATCTTCGACATTGTCCGGAAATGTTGTCTCCTGGTACCGACAACACAGATATCACAGAGCCGCAACCCCCCTCCCCGCACACCCACCAACCTCAAACAGACCTCCCCTGCCAACCCCACCCCACCCCATCCCTTCTCGATCTTGCTGGGATTTTGCAGTGTAGTGCTACCCCCACCCCACCCCGGGACCGCCGTTCTTTTTATTTGGAAAAAGAACGCAAAGGAACACCCCAGAAAACCCTCTCCAAAACTCTCCCAGCCCTCCTTGCGTTCGACGTGAAGCTGCCTTTTGGAACCCCTCCCTGTCAATCAGAGCAACACACGGTGCTTTTGCGGCAACGCTGAAGACCGGGCTAACATGATGAACAGCAGCCGGCAGCTCCTGGCTGTCTCGCTTGCAGACGGGACAGGTCAGCGTCTCCTTCTTCACCACGGGTCGCAGCTTTGACGAGGCTGAGGCTGCTGGCGTTCGGGCTTTAACACGTGCTTTCGAAGCGGAGCTGTTGCTGCCGCTGCTGGGAGCAGTAGCCGGAGCCTTCTTCTTGTCACGCCTCGATGCTTGCTTCTCCTCAACAAGTATTCCACAAAACAAAGAAAGGCTTAAGACTGACTTATTTTTCTTATTAACAGGAAGCTCGCAACATGTCCCTGCTGTCCTTGTTCTTAGCTTTGGCTTTGGCTTTGACCAGCTTGCTTCCCGCCATGACCCAACGGCAGCGAAAGTTGGGCTGTGTTGCTAGGTAGCTGCTGCTCAGCAGCAACTTGCGCTACTGAAGTCGCGTAGCACCAGACCTTCGGAGACTGCCCTAAAAGACTACCCGAGCATGGCAGGCAGAGGCAAGCTGCATGTGCCTGAGACTCACAGCACTCGCTATCACATCTGATTTCCCACGCAAGAACTCCAGCCCGCAAGGTGAGTCTGTGCAGCAGGCACACATTCCTCGTGAATTGCCCGGTTCAGTGAGCGTTGGTCATGGCTTGCTCGAGAAAGCAGTACGTAGTTATTGCTAGCAACTGCGCAGATTCACATATTCATCCACACCAACACTGGATACCGGCCCGCATGTTGCATGCGAGACTCAGTATAGCTAAGGGGCGCAGGCCGACACCGGGCCCTACGCATCACTACGCGACAGGTGCACTTCGCACAGTTGCAGTAACACGGCTACAATACAAGAGCCGAGCAGCAGGTATCTGCAACAGGGGTCGCCGGAGATAGTACTTCTAGCTATGTGTGCGAGTAAACACAGTGATTCCGGACGACGACAGAAAGCGCGATTCCAAGCTAGTGGCTCTAACACCCTGGAAGTGAAACATACCTGTAGAATCCTGGCGCCTTTAATTTTAGTTGTTCTGGGAATAAACGGTTTTGAATAGGAGGGACGGAAAGTTCTGCTTGTCGGCGTTTTTCTAGATTGCGGGGTTTCCGAAGTGTCTGAGCTGGTGGTGGAATGTTGTCGCTGCATCAGGTGCTCTGTTTGTTGTGTTGCAAGAGTTGGAAGCCACATGCTGTCAAGAAAGTGTGTTCATGTGCTCTAATGATGAACACCTAGAAGACAATGCTACATTCGATCGGGGAAGTTCAACATTTAGCGACTGGCTTCTGGCCTTTCTTCGGTTGCAGATGTATGTTGGTAAGTGCCCGGGGTTACAGCCTTGTAAGTTGTAGTAATGACCGTCTATCCCCATAAAAACCTCCTGCTGTCTTATGCGATGGCTCTTCACTGTCGGGATCAGTGGAGATGTGCGCCCCGAGAGGGTTTGGAATTTCAGAATTGGAGATTGTCTTTGGTGCACGTATAGCCGTGCAGTCGGGAGTGTAGTATCCTGGTTCCCAGGGCTTTTCAACGAATTCCTATGCTTGCAGGTACTCGATGGTGTGCCTACGAGCTGGAGCCTGGAGTGTTGGTGTGATGAGGCCTGATCCTGGTCGGAGTTCCGGAGCCAAGGGTTGTTCGTTTAGGGTTTATTATTTACTTAATTGAGTACACTCGAGGGTTTTACTTTTCGTTGCTGGATAAAGCAGGATTCTTCCCATTTCCAGTTGATGGCTTCGCAGATTTCTGAGAAGCTTTTGTGCAGAGTTGCTATGAACAAAAGCAATGCCATGGTACGCAGCGATTTTCAGCCGAACGGGATTTTGATCGTGCTGTAGGCATCGGAGCACACAGTCATGCCAGCAGCGGGCGAGGACTCGGGATCTCTAGCTCGCCTGCTGGAGGATACTTCCGAGCTCCGCAGACGCATCCTCGAGAAGCCCGAGCAGGTTCTCACGAGATGGCTGAATGACCAGGCGGTGGGAGTCGCATCAGTCGGTGCGATGAAGCTCAATCATCTTGCACTGGAGATCTTGGCCAGATGGTGGGTCGAGCGATGCCCTTACCCCAAGACGGTGCCCATCGATCGGATGCGAGACGAGGTCATTCGTCCCAGATGCTTTCAGATTTTGTTTCGTATTCTTTGATTAGCAGATATTGAGCTAGGATCTTTTCTCAATTGAGCAGGTGGCCACTCTTCGCATGAACTTAGGGTTGTGTGATGATCGTCTCAAAGTTCATCTAGACGGAGCTGGACTCAAAGTCCTGTTTTCGCATGGGTTGAGGAGATTCTTTTCGGGATCGACCAACCGAGAAACTTGAGTTTCAATCTTGGCAAGTCTTTATCGGTGTGAGTTTCGCTTTTCGTGGGGAGCTTCGTCTGTTTCTAGATTATCACACTGATAGATTTTCCAAGGATCGTTGCTTGGACACCTTCTATGAAATCTTGAAGATTGCTTGGGTGATTCCAGAGGGTGGCCTATCAGAGGAGGCCCTTTTGGCCATTGAGGATGGACCTGTGGAGATTCCCGAGGAGGGTGGCGAGATCGGAGATGCTCCGCATGAAGGCTTCAGCGAGGAAGCTGAGCAGGGCGAAGAAGAGGCCATGCAGGAGAATGATCCTCCGGTGGAGCCGGCGGCAGAGCCGGTCCCTTTGCCGGCAGAGCCGGTCCCTTTGCCGGCAGAGCCGGTCCCTTTGCCGGCAGAGCCGGTCCCTTTGCCAGACCTCCCGTCAGATCCCTACATGGAGAAGGCTGCTTCCTTCCTGAAGCTCCGGTCCCCTAGGCTTCAGGAAGACCAGGACTCGCAGATGCTTCGTGCGAGCTCGGACGAGTGCATCACTGCGAGCCCGGCCTCCGTTTTGTCCCCTACCGAGCCGCCTCCGATTACGCCGAAAAAGCTGTTCCAGGAGGAGGAGAAGCTTGTTCTTACATCAGATGACATCAGCATAGCCCGGGCGAGGATTCGAGAGCAGTTGAGGCCGAAATTGCATCAATGAGTTAGAACGGTTTATGGGTTTTAGGAGTGTTTCTAAATCCCTGGCAGGGCAGAGCTTGTCCGGCGGTTGCAAGCTGGAGACCAGGTCTCCAATCCTCAGGGTAATTTGGAGTGATTCAGGCGCTTTTTTGTTCGATAGATTTCGGTTGGTTTCGTTTTGGGGGCTTAGGAATACATAGTTCGGTTGAAGCCAATCAAACCGATCCTTGCTTCAAATAAGGCCCCGACAATGCCGACACACAGACTTGGAATGGTTTGCCCCGTGCTTCCTCTGCAGCCTCTCTCGCCTCTTCGGAGGCCTCTTCCCCGAAGAGCTTGGAAGAGGCGACTGGAGCTTTGATCGGGAGTCCTTCCTATGCCCCTGCCGACACACCATCCAAGACGACTCCCGAGCCGGAGGCGAAAGCCAAGGATGCTGAGGGCCCCCCAGGGCCGACCCAGGCGAAATAAACATTAAAAGGCTACGGTTGTATAGCTCCTTAATCATAGGTATTTCTTGATATGTATTCTATTTGGGTGAGTCGGGTTTCGTGAGTCGGGTTTTGTGCAAGGCAGAGGCTCCGTCTCCGGAGCCTCCATTGGTGCTTCGGAGGACCCAGCGAGGTGGGGATCTGAAGGATGATTTGGATCCCGAGGCGGTTCCGGAACCCAAGGCCAAAGCTAAAGGCAAAGCCAAGGGCAAAGCCAAGGCAAAGAGCAAGGCTGCCAAGCCTGTTGATGCCAAGACTGAGAAGCCCAAAGCCAAGGCTAAGAGCAAGACTGCCAAGCCTGCTGATGGCAAGGCTGAGCAGTCAGGCGAGGGCGCCGATGACTCATTGTCGGAGTTCGAGAAGGATGATGATCTCCCTAAGAGGGGCCGAGGTCGAGGTCGAGGTCGAGGCGGTCGTGGAAATCAGAAGAAGGGCAACGCCAAGAAGGATGGCGGCAGTGGGCGAGGTCGTGGCGGGTCCAAGGGACGGGTCGAGATTCTGATTTCCGATCAGGAGGATGCCTCGGGCGATGCCGAGGCCTCGGGCGATGCCAAGGGCTCGGGCGATGCGGGGCCCATCATGAAGCGACCGGCTGCTCGCAAGCCGGCTATGAAAGCCTCTTCGAAGTTCGCGGCCCCGGAGAGTGAGAAGAAGGCGAAGCGGACTACCTTCGCCGGTCGCCGTTGTCCCGAGGGCGAGATCCCCAAGGCCCGTTTCCTATCCATGTTGGAGACCTATGCTTCGATGATTGCTCCCAAGCTGGAGTCCCCTTCGCAGTACGAGGCTTCTTTTATTCAGGGTTTCTTTGCCTAGAAGTTGGTTCTGGTCTATGCTTTACAATGTAATCGCCAGTTTGGTTGTGTGATCTAAATACAAATTTGTTTCTTGTGTTTCATTGGATTCCTTTGGCAGGGTGAGTTCTGGAACATGGTGTTTAGCGACCTGACAACCATCGAGAACCCCTCACGCTCGAAGTACGATGAACTTTGCCGTGAAGCTGCTGTCCAGTTCGTCAACACTCACTAGCGACTTGGAGCAGGAGTTCTAGGATTCTCTATGGCCTTAATTAAAGAAGACCCTATAGCACCCTAAGTCCTAGGCCCCAGCTCAAGCTTTCAACATAATGGCTAATCCCACATGACTAGTTGCATCTCCTTACTCCTAAGCCTTACCTAAGCCTTGTGCCCACACTTAAGGCAGCTGAAAGCTGAGATCGACTGAGTGCTTGAGCTTTTCTGGCTTTCTTGAGACGGCACCACCGGTGCTGAAATCAGATCTGGGAAGGAACCTAGGTCTATTTTGAGCTATGGGTCGGGTCAACAGAACTCAATGTTCCTGCAGGACCACAGCCGATTAGACAGGTTCGGGGCTGGATCCACTGGTGATCCGAAGCCTTTGCATCAGACCCCACAATACTTGAACTGGCTTCTAGACTCTAAATACCTGAGCCCTAAACTCCTGAACCCTGGAACCCTAAAACCTTAAGCTATGGCTGGAATGCTTGATCTAATGCCTTGCCCCTGTGTTCGGCTGTGACTTCCAGAGTTCGAAAGCCTTTCGGGATTCAAGGGTGCAGCCTGCAGCCAACCAAAAAAGACTTTGCCCGTCAGCACAGAAGCTCACGACATATCTGGACCGGTGCTTTTTCCTTGGTTCGCAGGTCTCATGAACTTCTTGGCCGCCCGTGGCTTCTTCAAGAAGTGCTCCGGATGGGCTGGCTTGTTTGGGATGGGAAAGGGGTTAGGGTGGAGGCTGTTCTGAGTTCTGTCGCTGGATGCATTATCAGTGCTGTCCTGCTACATGCTGCAGTTCTCACGCCGGCAGGTCTTGCATTGAACAGTGAAAGCATTTGTTGCTGATGTTCGTCGATGCAAGAGTAAGGTCAGACCCAAGGGCTAGAGCCCTATCTCTATGTTATACTTGTAATGTTGTATACATTATTAAGTTATCTAGAACCATTGCATCATGTTTTGTCGGTACCATGTATCGAAAGTAGCAGAAATGACGAATTTAGGGTGGGAGAGTTTCCACTGCACATGTAGCATCCGGGCAGACTTGTGCCACTGGTCAGCACTTCAGACACTTGGATGCCTTAAAGGTTCTGCTGCTTGAGCAGAACGCAGGATTGGCCAATCTGGCATGTAGCAATCAGGACAGGAATCGGGTGGGTTTACAGTATTTAAGGGTTTAAAGCTTAGGGTTTAGGGGTTAAGGCTTTTGAGAATTAAGGGTCCAGGGTTTCTTTTGCACCAAACCGGTAGCAGAAGTCTTGATTATCTATGCCTGCGAAACCAGACCGATAGCCCCAACACCTAACAGCACTAGCACTTTCTGAGGAAACGCCCGGATTAGTAAACCTATAAGGGCTATGACAGGGCTCCGAACAGCAACAGCCCTTGGAGATCTAGTGAGCCGCAATGTAAAGCCTAAAGACCCAACCCCAAGCCCGAAACGTCCTTAAACCTAAACCCAGCCCATAGAGCCCAACCCCTCTCTCTCTAACAGAAACTTAAAGCTCTAAGGCAAAATCACCCTAAAGCACCAGCAGTTACCGATGGAATGTGGCTAATTTCTTTCTTCGGGATGCTAGCGGGTTTCTGCTCTGCTACAGGACAGCACAACAAGCTGCTTCTCATCGGGAGCAAGGACGGCACCTTCGTGGTTTAAAATCTAAAGCCCCAACCCCAAACCCCGAAAGCCTAAGACCCAGACCCCAAACCCTAAAGCCATCAAGCCAAACCCCAAACCCGGGTCAATTCCTGCACTCGAACTGCAATTTAGGCAAGACTGGATGAATTGTTCTAAGCAGACCCAAGGCCTAGAAGCTTCTGAGTAAGCCCCAGTCAAGCCGTGGACCCACCAGACCCGCACCGAAGTCTAAGATACAGCCTCTTCAAGGCACCGCCCTTAGACCCGAAACCCTAAGTAGCTGTGTGCAACCTTAGCTGGATAGTTTTGAAGCACTTTAGGACACTTAGATTCCTACATTGAAACCGGCGATTGCCCGCAGCAGCTCTCAGGACGCTGGATCGTGACTCGCAGAGCCTGAAGTCGGTATCCATTCGCCAAACAACATCGACTCCGAGTCTCGGCTAAAGGAGAACATGGCCCCGCAACAAAAACCCAGAAGCAGCAAAGCCAAACTGTCCAGCCCAGGTTCCATGCGACCAAGATCGTCGATGCTGCTGTCAGATGGAGGCCAGAAATGAAGATTCGCGGGGATTTCCTCGGGTGGATGCAGGAGTCTGTTCGGTTGCTTCTAGGGTATGCTATCTTCCGGGGAGTTCGATTCCGTACTATGCTGCTTCTCAACCAACATTGACACTAAGCTGCTTGATCTGTGTTATAAGGGCTTGCTTCTGGCTGTGTTAGTTCATACAACCCCGAATAAATTCAGGAATTACTTCGTTTCGGGGCTTCGGGCTGCTATTATTCTTCTGAACTGGGGCTACCATACAAGCAACTAAAGGCCCAAAATAAAGTCACCAGGCCCTGGTGACCTTATTCTGGGGGTCCCAAAGCTCAATTCCCCGCCCCACCCACACAGCTTCCCAGCGGCTGTGGTGAACCGAAACTACATAATGGGCTAGGAAAGCACCAAAATAAGAGAAGCATGCCCTGGTATTGTTATGCTACTTTGGGGTTCCATAGCCCACTTCGCTGCCCAACCCACGCCGGGCTGGGTTCTTCTGTGAGGATTCTAGATGGGTACTATTTATACAAAGTAGGTGTGCTTAAGCTTTCCGGCTGAGCCACAGGACTTTTAGGGTCCGGTGTTTAGGCAACGGTTTGAGGCTTGTGGGTCAGGGTTCGGGGTCCGGGGTTTAGGGTTCGTGAAAACCTCGGAGGATGGATAGATGCTTGGGGGGTCTCCTGGCTTGGCCACTTGCCACGTACTACTATAACGAAACCCCAGACCTCCGAGCCCTAATTAAACCCCAAACCATTGACAGAATAGCACGCTAGTAGGAAATCGCCGAAATAGCCGTCACCCAAAACCCAAACCGCATACCCTCTCTTGTATTGCTACTTTAAACCCCCAAACCTGATCCCGCCGACACTAGACGCCAACCCGACAACTCCACGCCGAAACCCTCCCTTGCAGCCAGGTGGTTGGAGGCCGCGAGGAGCTCTGAGGAGAGGTCGCAGTGCGAGCCTCTCGGGTGTGTCGTGGGCTTGAGGCATTGCACTTTTCGTGCCTGGGCTCTGCCTTTGTTTTCAACAGGCAAACGGTGATTTCCTGGTCCTAGTAGGGAAATACCTCTTAAGAGCGTTTTTTCAGACTGCTAGCAACTCAAATCGCCAAAAGTGTGCTTAAGTGGTTTTAGGCGACGGCGTTATTACGCGGGCGAACGCCGTTATTTCGCGGGCTGAAACCGTTATTATCCGTTATCGCCACTTTGGGCTGTTTTAGTGCTATCCAGAAGTGCAAAGTGCGACCTTTTTTCGGGGTTTCGTGTCGTTTATGCAGCTAGATGGGGTCAGGGATTTTCCCATAGGGGCTGTTGGTCTTGGTGTTGGCTCTTGTACAGCCTGGGCCACCAAGTTTGAAACATTCGTTGCTGGATGCATGCAAGGAAGAAAGGATAGGTTTGCATACACTGCCTCGTTTCGCTGCTTTGTTGCAATGACAAGTCTATCCCATGTTCATGGCAAGTAAAGATGCTGCTTGCTCGGCTTGCTCAAGCTTTTGTGTTGGGCTATTTAAGACAAAGGTTTGGCTCAGGCTGTTGTGTAATCCTATGGGTTGCTTGACATTACAGAGTTGCAAGTAGGCGGTTGCTAGGCATTTCCTCTGGCAGCTCGGTTGCTGCTCTGTTTGTCATCATGAACTCCGGAGCTCTATCTCTGGCTGCGACAGCCGGCTTGCCTGCCCTCTCCCCGAACGACATAACCCAGTTGACCGATGCTGAGTTATGGCAGCAGCTGCAGGCCCACAGATTGAAACAACCGCATGGTCTTATCTCCGAAATTTTATTAAAGAATGTGTAGTGTTGTTAAACCCAGAAACCCTTAAATCCCAAATCCTAAAACCTATGTCCCTGAACAATGACATGGCCCCTGGCAGGCCTTGGATCATCTCGATGCTGCAGCTTCGGTGGCCTCCTTGTCCAAGGATGCAAAGGAGAAACCGTCGGAGAGTCAGGGGAGTGCGGATACACAGTTGGATACTCAAGCTCCAGCACAGAGGCTTGGAACAAGTTCTCCTCCCCAGGTCCCTCCTAAGGAGCTTGCCCCGAGAACCCCAGAGAAGGAGAAGCCGATTGCCCCGATGACCCCCTCGAAGCCAACTCCGAGCATCTTCGCACCAGAAACAATCCATGCAAGCCCTCCGCCGGCCTCCCAGGCACACTGCAGGACACCGAACACCAAGGCAAAAAGCAAAGCCGTGCCCGAGAGCCCAAAACCGGAGCATTTGTCACACATGGCCTTGTCGCTGCGAAAGAAGCACAAGGATTTGACAGACGAGGATGTTGTGTCACAGGTGCCCCTAACCACGGACAAAGCGGCACCGCAGCCGGTGCTGGGCAAGGCCCAGTTATCCGACCAAGCCATCCGTATGAGGTCTCAGCGAATTTTTAAACGCCGAGCAAACGGCAGCCTAAAAGTGACGGAAGAAATTTGGAAAGAGTGGCATCAGCGGGGCTCTCGCAGAGCCCTGCTCGAAGAGATCTTTTTGCAATGTGGATACGACCCTGTGACTGGGCCGTGCTAGATCAGGGTTCTATCACGATGGGTATCGAGTTGATGGTCCCCTAAAACCCTAAACCCCTCGACCCTAAACCCTAAACCCAAACCTCCCAAGGCAACCTTCGTCTCAGAGGTGGAAGTCATCCGGGCGGAGATGCTGGAAAATGAAGTTATCATTGAGGGCGAGTACGCCAGCAGTGAAACCATGAGGTCTTGGGGCTTCTCTGAGCTGTTTACCTGCAACTAGTGCCGTGATCTCTGTGTACAATGAATGCTAGTCATCCGAACGATTCGTCATCCTAGGCAGAGGGTTGAGGCTATCAAGTCTCACTGCCGCACCAACCCCAAAGAGTTGATGAGGACTGCTGCTAGTTTATGTAAACCCATAAAAAGCCACACCAACCAAAGCCAGGAGAGATCGGTACGAGAAGACGATTCTCTACTATGTGGAAAGGACGATTAAGGGCACGGTGAAGTCAGACCCTTACTCCCGAGCCCAGGTAGTTAGGATCCCTGAACCCAAGATATCCCGATACGGCTCAGGAAGAAGTCCTCCTTGATGATGACCAAACGTGCAAAGTGGACCGAGCAGGGCCTCAAAGGCATGGACATGGATCCCTCATCGCTGGGGGATTTGTCTCCAGGCCATCCCGTATTATGTATATAGATGTAGCCTACAAACCACACACCTTTAGGCCCCAACAAGCAAAGCTTTAAATCTATAATCGCTAGGCTTTCTAAATTTCTAAGACCGGAGAAACAACCCAACCAAATTCCGGTGTAGTTCGCTTCCAAGAAAGTATCCCAAGCTCCCAAGTCTTCCCCGCTGCACGCCCAACTGCTTAAGTCCGGAAATTGAAACCAAGCCCTTCGGCTGTATTGTTGTTCTAACAGCTATGGACTGAGATTAGAAACTTTTAATGTGTTTGGTTATGTTTCGAATCATAAGCCCCGCAGTTGTTACTCCTAGAGGGGCTGGGTTCTTGTATATAATAATAAGTTTTATAGGGTTTTGTACCTTGGGTTGCATAGGGCTACAGTGTTGCTGCTCCGGGGGTGCTAAACTGGCTTCAACCTGAAAACCCAAAACTTTCCCATTATGCTAAATAAGTTAAACCCTAAACCCCTAAACGGCTCTAAACCCTACGTGCCCAAATTCGGGATCGCAGGGGAGAAGGATGACCCTCTTGATGATGATGACGAGGAGGACTTCGCTCTCACGGCTCGAAAGAAACTTGGGATTCCGGACTATGACCCGACCAAGTCATTGCTGGCAACCCTTCCCAACATTGTGTTGCTAGGCCCAAATCGAGGTGTCTCCCTTGTATTGCATCATAATGCCATAAAATGCAGAAATAGCTCGTGGGGGTTTTAGGGTGGTTTAGGGTGTCATCCTGTAAGCCTCTTAGGCATACAATGCCAGAAAGCCTCCTCCCAAAGGTCAGCTCTGTCGAAGCGGACCCAGATGATGGAAAAGATGTCCGAGCGGTTATCGGCAGTGGACAAGCCCACGCAGATGCAGACTTCGAAGCTTTGCCAGGGAGTTGTACTTAATAAGGGATAAAGGGCTTGCATGCAACAAAAAACACGCCCTTAACCCGTAACCCTAAACTCCTAAACCCCTGAACCCTCAACATGGTGTCGCTACTCAAACGGAAAAGAACTGTACGTGTCTGTGTGTGTTCGTCTTTCCACTTGTGTGTGTGCCTTTCTGTATCCTATTCTGTGTGTGGGTGGGGGTGAGTCGTTGCTTGTCTGTTTGTGTGTGTGTGTGTGTGTGTGTGTGTGTGTGTGTGTGTGTTTTTGTTCGTGCCGGTGGGTGGTTGTGGGCATGTGGGTGTGGTGTGTGTTCGTGGGTGTCTCTCTGTGCATGTAAGTTTGTCTGTGTGTGTGTGTGTGTCTCTGTCTGTGCTGGTCTAGTGCTAGCTGCTAGTCTTCGATGCCACTCCTACACTGTCCTTTTTAATTCTCGGACTGTATACTTAGGTTCAAGGAGCAGGTGGACAAAGTCAACCTGGAACTCACAGACGGTGTCACGACTCTGAGCGATGCCTACTCCCAAAAGATTGTCACCGGCCTTCCCAAAGCGAATCTGAGCTAAACCTTGCAAGCTCCGACGTTCACTATTTTGCCAAGTTTCGGAACCCAGCCTATCAAAGGCAAGAGAAGCCGCTGATGAAGAAGATCGAAGCTGTGGTTGCCTTGCCAGAAGCTTATGTACGGAAACAATCTGGGCTAGCATACTCTGTAGTTTCAAGAACCTAGTGCATTAAGTCTTGTGTAGACTTCTATGGACTCGTCATTCACGGCTTCAGGGCTGCGAGCTCGCTGGCTTTGGAGACACGTGCCAGGCCAGTGCTGCAACATTAATCAACACTTTTTTCTACTACTCCTGACACCTTGCAGGCCGTTCATGCCCAAGGACAAGCGAGACGGCACCCCGAAGGCCAAAAGCAGGTCCAGACCCGGCAAGCCAAAGACCAAAGCCAAGCCACAGAAAGTGAAGGAAGAGAAGACTTCGCCGCCGGCAAAGCCTCTCAAGAATGGCAAGAGGAAACCCTAGAAGATCCTGGGTGCATGAACAGGATTCACTGGGGGAATCGACCTTCATGCTTTCTGAAGTATACAGGGTGTGTCAAGCCCCTAAGCCCGAGAGTTTTGCCTTTGTTTTGGGGCCTTGTGGGAGCCTCTGTGATCTAAGATCTTTCTGGGCCCGTAGATGAAGTGCCTACCGGGCCCATGATTTGTGCGAACATCTTGCTGAGATGCTTGCTTCGTCGTCAACCAGCCGTGACAAAAGTGATGCCCTTGACTGTGTCGTGTCGATTGCATTGATCCTGCCGTCGCAGCTGCACTACCTTATAGCTAAACGTCCAAGGCCTAATCAACATGGTACTTGTTTCGGCCAGGTACTGAATCCTCGGAACCACAGCCGGTCACCGAAGCATTTGCTGAAGCTTATGCTGACTGTGCAGCTTGGCTTCCACATTAATCTACCGAAACCCCGCACCATGAAAAGCGCCACCAGGTTCCCCGCACAAGGTCTGATTTGGAGTCTTGGAACACTTTATGTCAAGCCCCCCAAAACCGAAAACTCTCTCAGGTACCCGCTACAACTCTGTCGAGCCTCACATCTGCAGCAGCAAGGTGTGCACCTGGCCTTAGCCGTGCTGTGCCCAATACGGGTGAAGCAAATGCATCCAGGAATGCCCGCTCATTCATTCTTCGATGGGGTATGCTTTGGAAGGTTCCCATTAGTACGTTCCGATATCATGATGACGGGAAAGATCTGGAGGTGCCATATATTTCGCCATTGGCCTTTGTAAAGTACCTGCTTGAGCGGGCACCTGAAGTACTTTTCGGAGGCCTTCGAGGTCTTGAAGGTCAGAAGATGCTCAAGTCATTTTGGGCTTCGTATGAACAAACACACAAGAGCCACGAGATCTTCCGAGAACACCAAGGCTGCACATCACGGGTGATCCCATTCTGCCTTCACGGAGATGAAGGGCGAGGATTGAAGAAGACGAACACTTGCATTTTGATGCTAGAATCAGTTTTCGGCTTGAGCTCTGCTGACAACAGGCTTGGTGGCAAACACTACAACTCTTGCCGCTGCTGCTCGGATCGGGGCTTGAACCTCCAGGAGCCTTGCAAGACTGAATGTCAGCAAAATGATGGCATGGACCCTGAGCTAGCATTCCAAGAAATCAATTTACAACACCACCCGTTTCTGACGAAGTTTATACTGTGTGCACTCCCACATGTCTTCTTCAAACAGAACAACTTGCTGGAAGCATTGATACGACAGATTTCTTCTGAATTGAGACAACTCTTCTACGAAGGAGTTTGTGTTGGAGGCACGTATTGGTTTGGTGCCGTCCTTGGATTGAAGGGCGACCTTGCATGGTTTGCCAAGATTGGCAAACTGACGAGGTGTTATAAATTCGTATCATCTGATCAAGGCTGCTGCCACTACTGTCATGCTGGTTCACGCCACGAGCATTTCGAAGACATTAGCCGGGTGCCATCATGGTCAAGGAGCATATACTTCGAACGACCGTGGTTGTGCAATGATCCTCCTATGTTCGATCGTATTCCGTTTGATGCCACCGCCCCTGAGAGAGTACTCCGCAGAGATTTCTTCCATTGCAGCAAGATTGGAACATTCAGGGATTTTATTGGCAGTTCAGTGCTGTTGATTTGCAGGTTTGGATACTTCAACCAGCCCCAGGCAAAGAACAATCGGCAGGTGCTTCTGCAACGGGCTTTTGGCCATTTCCGTCTATGGTGTTCTACGGTGGGAAAACATCCTGCTATGCATTCGTTCTCCAAGGATAACTTCAATTGCTCCAATGCCAAGAAGTATCCTTGGTGCAAGACCAAGGGTAGTGACACAATGCTTCTCATGGAGTGGCTACAGTATCTTACCAGGTCGTGCTTGAACAATCCTCTGGATGCAGGCCATGTCGATTTCTTGGAAAAGATGAATGAGACAGCTGTTGCTGGCACCTCTTGGGCCAAGGGCTTGTACAAACATGGGTGGTGGCTATCAAGAAAATGTGCAAAAGCCTTAGCTGATGAAGGCCATCTTTTCTTGAAAGGCTTTAACTCTCTTGCTCATGGTTGTCTCACATCACCACTTGTGCTCGAGAAGAAGTTTCGCGGATTCGGCATGAAGCCAAAGCTACATCTACTTTGCCACGATATTTTTGAACTTCGCGAATACCTCTCCGATCCAACCATTACAGCCATTCCGAACCCTTTGGTATATGGATGCGAAAGCAACGAAGACGTCATTGGAAAGTGCTCACGAATTATTCGTCGTGTGCATCAGAAGCAAGCTGCCAGAACCACGCTGGAACGATGTCTCATTAAATCCAAAGCAGTCTACAAAAGGTTTCTGGCAGGTGAGCAGAAGCAACCCTCTTCTCGAAAGAGAAACCGGTGCCACTAAGCCCCAGGCTGATCGACCGAGCTGCAGGAGCAGGAACTCCATGGATGTCGTGCGAAAGAGTGCAATAATTTTCTCTGGGACCGGTAGCTTTGGGATTTCTGAGCTTGAGTTCTGGGTGTTCGGGGCTAGTGAGCCTATCACAGTGAAGATGTTTCGGCCTTCGCGGTTTAGGATCGGTGCTGTAACATGTTCCAGTCTGCTCGAACTTACAAGCCCAAACCATCATCCAACCATCCTCCAACTTGCCATAATGTCACTTGAATTCTATTGTAGCCTAAACCCTAAACCTCACCTTAAACACTAGAATCGATGACCCCGTACCACAATTGTACTTACATCTAGCTTGCCTGCACTGCAAAGGACCTGTCTCCAGCCCAAATAGCCGCAGTCTGTCGTTACATCCCGAACTATGCTTATACCAAGACAACACTCTCAATTCGGAACAACAACAACAACCTTTTTTATTGGTATCGCCCTTTTTCAAAGGCAGCGCCTTTTTTGGTTAGCTTTTGGTCCAACGCCTTTTATTATTGCCCCCAGGAATGTCCAGGTATAAATATGTGTATATAGTATACATATGTATATATATATACTATATACATATAGACATATATATGTGTGTACATATACATATACATATACATATACATATACATATACATATACATATACATATACATATACATATACATAAACATATACATATACATATATAGATATATATGTATGTGTATATGTATATATATATATATATACATCTGCCTGGGTGCATGCACAACTGCTCTGGCAAAGAGTACGTAGGGCCTACGGGCCCGGATTCCTGGATGCCGAAGGCGACTCACATACATCACTGCTGCGTAGGCCCACATCCACGGAAATCGATGACCTCGAGAATCGTGGCGAGCACGGCGGCGATGCATGGCACAGCAAAGCCCTCTCCTGCGAGGGACTGGAAGCTTGCAATTGGCATCACGGGACAGCCACGCAGCATCCTGGCGCGGCTGTGGCCTTGAAGAAGGAAATTCTCATGTGGAACCAGCATGCGATCCAAGCGGTAGCTGTACCATGTGCTGGACGTTGTCAGACACGGATGCATGCCACATTTCCTGGTCTTTGGCTTTCTGGCATGGCTCTGGGAAACGTCCACAAACACGTCTCGCAGGAGCTTGGGCACTTCTCTTCCCTTTACGTGGCCCCCCAGGACGTCAGCGCAGCACAAGTCGATCAAGTCCCTCACACGGTCCTGCTTCGGGACACCTGCCAGGCGTGTGCCAGGCCTGGCTGTCCAGGGTGCATACGAGTTGGAGATCTGCAGCTGCTCACGCCATTTGATGCTGTCGCTCTTCCAGACAGCGTTCAAATTGCAGATGCGTGCCTGCCAGGGCACCAAAACCAAACAGGTTCAAAGCACCCCCCCCCCAGGACAAGCATTCCGCGTTTGGTTATTTTTCCGTTCCTTTTCCCATGCCCTGCGGGGGGCAGTGGGGTTCCGGGTCACGGGGGGGCTCGATCCTGGAAAAATTGCAAATTCCCTGAAGCATTTCGGAAAAAAATGGAAAAAAATGGAAAAAAAATGGAAAAAAAATGGAAAAAAAAAGGAAAAAAAATGGAAAAAAAAAGGGGAAAAAAATGGGATGGATCGGGGCCGCGCGGGGACAATGGAAAAGAAATGGAAAAAAATGGGATGGATCGGGGCCGCACGGGGACAATGGAAAAGAAATGGAAAAAAAATGGAATGGATCGGGGCCGCACGGGGACAATGCTGAAGTCCGAAGCACACACCGAAGCACTGGACACGGCTGAGACGTGAGCACTGGCAGTCACTGGCAGCAAGAAGCAAGCTCTCATGGGACCCGACCCTTGGATGTGCCTGTCGGGGCTTCGGGGACGTCACAGACAGCAACGAGTGTCCTTTGGGCAGAAGCTGCTCGTGGGTGTCCACCGGACCGGCGGCGGACTGCTTGGAGCACAGGTCCTGCATGGGCGCGGTTTCAAGGCCGCGTGGCTTGAGTTCTGGAGTTCACGGCTACACTCCCCGCATGCTAAAGACTGCACAGCTAAACATCTTCGGACCTGCAGCCTTTGACTGGAGGCTGCAGACGTCACAAGGCAAATCACACAACCATTGCACCTCCTCACGCGACAACAGCCCCTGTAGCACTAGGCCGGCCTCGAGCAGACGCTCATGCAGCTGCACAGCATCGAGGCTGAAGACGTCCCTGCGGTACAAGCAGATGTAGAACCTGCGACAAAAGAAGAATGCGTGGGAGTCTGCCATGCTTCCTTCGAAAGTCAGCAGAAGCATGTCATTCGACATGGAAAGAGCAGACGACATGCTATTAAGATGCAAGTCTGCAAAGCTTGCACGTGGTTCGCAGGCGTTTCCACACGTGGACTTCAGCATGCCTATGGCAAGCGATCAGGCTCCTGGTTCTCTCCAGGTCTGCAAGGACGCTCGTGTTGAGCAAAATCCTCAAACGCTGCACGACTGTGCAAGCCTCTCAGATGCTCCCGCGCGGCCACCCTGCTTTGCAGGCTGGGCGCATTAGAGGGATGTGTCTCCTTGGCATTGACATGCGTGTCCTCCAAAAGCCAGGCGGCTAAGAAGCCAAGCGGTCTGCCTTGCGCTGTTCGAGAGGGATGATTGGATCCCTCGGACGTGCGCTGGCGAGTGCAGTTGGGATGCCGCGTGCAAATAGCTCTGAAGTACCCCAGGACGGTGTTGAAACGTATGGAACCACGATCTGCAATGTCCAGGCGGAGCTCCGGCACAGCTTCCCGGCGCGGCAGCACCTCGGCTCGTCGTGGGGCTCCACCGGCTCCATCTTGTGAACTGCTGGATGATGAAGAGTCAGAAGAGCCCTGACTGCCGTCGCTCTCCTCTGCGTCGCCTGCATCGAAGGAGCTAATGCTCATGTCGCTTGTTCGCACGCTGTGAGCGTCTGCATCTGCTTCGCCCTCCGGAGCTGCTGCCGCAGCTGGCTCGTCTGCATGCGAGGATGATGATGAAGCTGATGAATCCGGTGCTACAGCAGCAGCATCCCCTCCTAGTCGCGCTTCTTCTTCCTGCATGCCAGCAATGTCAGACAATTCGGCCTCGGATTCCTCGCCGGAGCTGCTGGCACTGGCCCACAAAGCCGCTTCCTCAGCGACGAGCTCGTCCTGAGAGGCGTCCTGAGAGGCCTCATCTTCCAGAGGAGCTGCAGCAGGACCGTGACCACTGGCACGAGGCTGTTCCGCCCGAGGACGCTGCTGCCGCGGCCTGGGAGGCTGCCGTCCAGCTGCTGGCCTTCTAGGGTTTCGCGGAGGCCGGCGCGATGCTTCCAACCGCCTAGCTGCCTCTGCAGTAGCCCCTTGCCAACAGTAGAAGGAAGGGATCTGGGCAAGTGGCACTACGTGCACATTCGCTGCAGCCATATCCTCTGGTAAAACGGAGCACCTGGATTGGGCTCACTTCGGCAGTTAAGACAGCTATTACAAAAACTGACAGTAACTAGGAGTAACTACAAATTGTCCGCCGACAGCCTTTAGCCGACACACATTTTTTGATTCTATAGAGACCTTCTCCCCCAGAAAATGTAACTGGCCAAGTTGCTCGGACCGCGAAACAGTGAAGAAGTGCACCTGCCAGCGGAAGTCAAAATCAATATCCGCCGAGAACTGCTCGACACTGGACTGGAAGGCAGCATCAGGAGGAAGCACCAAATTGTAGCCTGGCCCAGATTGCCCTTCTGTGGCGAGACGCAGCGGGAGGAGCGTGCAGTGAAAAGTAGTCAGGTTCATATAAGACAAATGATACCATACATCTCCGGGACAAGGCTTGGGTTCCGCGTCGTCCTCCAAGCTCAGGAGGTAGGAGGCTGCATCAGAGGATGAGTAGCTGCTGCTGAAACGCATCACCAGGAGAGCATCGTCGAGTGCACTTCTGCCGGGCGGAGTTACTTTCTGGCGCCGTACAAAGTGTGGACGGAGCAGCGAGGCCAAATTCTTGTGGAAGAACAAAGCCACTTGTCCGCGCCCAGAGCAGACGCAGAAGTTCAAGACACAGCAAAGCTGGGTCTGGAATTCCCCATGCAGAGGCGGCAGCTTGGGGCTCTCATCGTGGAGAACAACCTGATGCTGCTGGCTCCACCACTCTGTCAGAAACCGCATGACACCAGTTTGCCGACGCGGTGGGTTCATCAACACCTGAGAGATTGCACGACTGCACAAGACTCAGCAGACTGCGCGACGCTTTGGATGATGACTTGACCAGGACAACTAGGAGTTGGAGATGTAAGCAATGTAAGCTCATTGGGCCCTGGCCCCATCGAGGGAGATTTGTTACAACAGTACGCTGTTTAAATAGTTTAAATTCGAAGGAGTTGATAACAGTTTGCATAGTTCGCTTCAAGATGATAACTGATAACTCAAGCTGATAAAAATGACAGTGTGTCGAAGAAAAGACCGGCCTCTGCCATGTCTGCCAGTGGAGGACTGAACTCTGCTGTCTGCACAGTCTCAGGCAAAGGCACGCTGTTCGACTGCACCAGATCTGAATCTGGGATCAAGTCCAGGACAGGCGCAGGGTTCTGATGTAAGTAAAGCTGCAGCGCTGTCTGCTCCTCCTCGGCTATTTTCTTTGCTGCAGCAACTGCCGACCGTCTCTCCTGGGATAGTTTGGCAAGCTCCTCTGGCAGGCCGAAAGCCACAGAGTTCAGAGAAACAGCCGCAGACCTGGCTACTGCAGCGTCGTCGTCGGCGGCAGCTCCAGGCGTCAGCGCCATCCGCAACCTCCTGCGTTCCTTCTTCTGCTCGCGCGTTTGCGCAAGCCCCGCCGGACCAGGAGCTTGTTGTTGACGCGCTGCTTCGGTGGCGGTGTCCGCCAAACCCTGCAACCTCTCCTTCTCTGCATCGCTCAAGAGATGGAACCTGCGAGAAAGCTCCCGCATGTCGCCACCCCACTTCTTACCAGTGCGCCCCTGCGTTTCCTCATGCATGAACGCCACCCAGGCACTCCGTGCCCTCGTCTGCTTTGCCTTAGCCGGCTCGGGCTCGGAAGCAGTAGCACGTGTGCCCTGGGGAGAAGCTTGCACTTGCACACCAGCCACATTTTGCCGGGCTAGCTTGTTCTGCTTGATGCAGAAGGCTGCAGAGACATGTTGCAGACTTCGCACCCATGTCTGAGCTGAAGTAGCCGACACACGACGAGTGGATGCGTGCCTGCATTCGATTGTGCAGATGTCATATTCGCGACGTGCTGCGATGCAGCAGAGCACTGCCCGACAAGGTGCGCTGCGGAGGTCATCTGCGGTTGGATAGCGGGACAGGAGCTCGTGGGTCAGTTCGTCTCGCATGCAGACTTTCTTGGCCCGCTCAACTATTTCGGCTGCCATCCCAGCTGAGCCGTCTGTCAGCAACCTGAACATCTGCATCGGGAAGCCAGCACGTCGCATCACCAGCAGCTGGTGGATACACGCACCTGCACGGGCCAACGCAGTGAAGAGGAGCGACCGGTTCTGCAGCGTGTTGTAAGGAGGCTCCAGCAGCGGCTGCCTCTCTCGTAAGGCACGAAAGAGACCTCTGTAGAATCTCTGCACATCGTCGCTCGCAAGAACTTCCAGCAGCTTGCAGAAGTTGGATGGGCTGTGAGTGCGGGCAGCACGCGCATAAACATTCCGACGCCAGACCACACTGGCTCTGTGGAACAGCTCTCTGCGGAGCTGTTGCAGCAAACCACCCACTACGCAGAAGACAAAGACGGTGCCCAAGCAAAGCTCTGCTGCGAAGTTGACGGCCTTTCGCCGGTACTGCTTGTTGCGTCGGTGCCACTCGTCAGCCTGCCCGGGAACTTCTGCATCAGGCTCCAAGACCTCCTCATCCAATGTCTCAGCAGCCAGACCTCCTGGAGTCTGACGGCCCATCTCCAGGCCAACCTCTGCAGAAATGGCACGCATCCAAGCATCTTCTGCCGAAGCGGCTGGGCGTTGCAGCAAGGGCAGCCCAATGAATCTTTGAATGGTGCCAGCGAAGAGTGCACCATTGTAGTGGCCCCCAAACAAGCCAAGCCAATTCAGGGAAGCATCCGCACCATTCCAGCGACTGCGTGAAAAGAGAGGGCAAGTGCGAGGCAGAAGGGCTGCCAACGCGAAGGCTTCTATGTCTCTGAGCATGTTCGCTTTCACTGTCTCGTCGATGACATGAACAAAGGGGTTGTAGATCCTCACGGTAGAAGATGTGAGGTCACCGTTGAAGAACTTGGCAAGGACGCACCGCTGGGCACGGTGCTGGTTGTGCAGTCTGCCTGGCAGGTGAGACTGACGACATTCAGAAGGCCAGCAGGCCCCTCTGACATGTAACGGTATAACGGACATGTGAGAACCCTTGGGAAGAAAATGGTCGAGTGATCATCGAGCAGACAGATGGACGGAGGGATATCAACATTGAGGCCAGGACAGTAGATATTATTATGCTTCCAAACTTATAAACTCCTGAAATCCTGACATAGAAGCCTGTCAGATCAGAGATTCTACGTTTGCGCACCCAGTGCACAGAAGCGAAGAACGTCTTAAGACTTATAACTGCCAAGGCTCGTGCTTCTGGCTCTCGGGCAGCAGGGTAGAGAGGCAAGTGCTGGTCAAAAAGGCTGTTTCGAAAGTCCACGACAGACCCAGCTGGAGCACGCCCAGCGACAAAGACAGACTTCTCCACCAGAACTTCGAGGAGGCACTGGCGCAGGCGTGACTTGGCTTTGGCCCCAGTCATAGTGAGGGCACAGGCAATCAAGCCCTGCACGGCAACGTCCAGTTTCGAGAGCTGTGCAGTTTTCGTGTGAGCTGTTGCTACCATGTGGAGCTCGCATGAGGAATGATCACGAGCGTAGGCCAACCCCTCATGACGAGCGGAAGCTTGCATTGATCGTTCAGCTGCAAAGTTTGCCGCATACCGGTCTGTACATACACACCTGACCCGAAAGTCAAAATGCTTGGATGCTCTCTTGATCTCCGGCAAACTGCATCTGGACTCGAGAACTTGCCGCGTGTTAGCCGCGCTGGTCCTGTCTACAGCAGCCAACTGTCTTGGACACATGCCCGTCAAGGCATGTATCTCGCCTGTGTCGAGACGCTGCAGGAGCATTGTCAAGCCGAACTCGATCTGGAAGACTTTGGCTATGCATGTTTCTTGCTTGTCGCGTTGCAGCGGCACGGCTGATGACGTCATCAAATTGCCGTCTGCGTCGAGGCGCAGCTTCGAAGGGGTTTCGTCGTATCTTGCATGAGTCAGAAACAGGAGGCCCCGCACATTGGAGCTGGAGGCCAGAAGCTCTGCTACATTTGCCAGCAGCGTCCCCCATGACAAGTCTGAGCACAATTGCATCGCAGCAGCAGTGCGCTCCACTGCGCGAGATGCCGACTGTCTGGACACGCCTGTCGCCGCAGCAAGCGCAGAAAAACTCATGTGCACGAACTCCTCCTTGCGCACCAAGTGCTGGCACACGGCATTGGGTGGCATGGCTTTCGAAATTCCCGGCTGCGTCCACTTCTCCAGCAGCGAGCAGGCAAATTGATGAGCCTTCGTACCCTGCCCCGCGGCCAATCGAAAGGAAGACACACGATGTGGCACCACTGCGTCTGGACCATCGTCTTCATGATCATGACGCCTGGCAGCCAGCTGCACTTGCCGGGCTTGCCTCGCTGCGGCCGCAAGCTCTTGCCTGGATGCGACTGGCTGTGGGATTTCTGTGTCACGAAGCAGTGCCCGCAAAGAATGGCTACCTCTAGGCTTCTTGGCAGGTCGTGCAGCCGCAAGCACAGGCCTGCGTTCTGCTTGCGCTGGCGCTATGGGACGAAAGTCCTCTGGGTCACTGTCCGAATCCATGTGCTTGCATTTCGTGAAACACGAACGGCTAGCCAGCTAGCACTTCAACGTAGAAGTGCCGCTTTGAGCCCTTGCAGACGGACATGTGCACGGCTGAACAATGCTTCAACACTGGCGGCAGAGTCGAAAACAAAAGCGTTGCCACTCCTGCTAATGTGGTGAGTCTCCCAAGTTGCATGCTCATGCTCCAAATCCCTTAATCGCAAACAAACCACCCGTAATCACCCGTACTGGCCTGGGTCTGGAAACATTGTTCCAAGGCTGCCCATCCAGGTCGTGGGCCAGCACGTGGTACCCTCCACGAGACCACGAGTAGCTGGAGATGGCCTCAAGCAACCTGCGAGCAGGGGACCATTGCATCTGTCCTCTAGTCACTTCACCGTTTGAGCCGAATTTAAGGTGTGGGGTTCATTAATTCGAGGGCACGGGTAACATCTGTCCTCTTGTCACTTCACCGTTTGAGCCGAATTTAAGGTGTGGGGTTCATATATTCGAGGGCGCGGGTAATTATATATTATATACCTAGCATACCTGCGACATGAAAGGAAACACAGCACCTGATCAGCGGCGTCGATTCATCCTTGCAGTCCATAGGCTGGTGGAATCCTTTCACCTGCTCTATTACTGCGAACTTCGGTTCTGTCATGGCCACCCATGACGGAAGCAGACTGTCTGTGACGTGGTAGAGCGGGTGGTTCACTACCGAGCCAATGGCAGTGCGTTTCTGTCGGTTCTGGCTGAAAGGGGGACAGGGTGTGCCTGTCACTGCAATGTCTACATCCGAGGCCAAGGAAAACATACACTGCTCACCCGGATGATAGCTGCAAGCTGCGCCGGACAACTGATCTTCCATGCTACAATGCATGTGGGCGGCTGCACGGCGCCCTGATCCACCAAAGCTCGCATTCACGTAGGAACGGAAGTCGCTGTTAGTGTCAGCACAGCCGAGAGCAACGTATGGGATCCCCAGCGCCTCGAGAGACACAGCATGACACAGGGTGTCATTGTCAACGACTGCGACTATACGACGACAACGACGAATAGTGAACACTGAGTACTAATTACTAGCGCGACTGCAACTGAGTGACGACACATTGCCAGCACGAAGACTAAAACTACATGATGACAAGTACGAGTACGTCGGCTACAACAACGACCACAACGGCTAGAAATACGGCTGCGACTGCTTCTTGCCTGCAACCTCTTCATTCCATTCCTTCTGCCTCAGCCTCCTGGTAGCCTTTCTAGCAAAGACTCAACGAGTCTACAGTCTACAGGAAACTTTGCCGTTCACCACTTTTTGCCTACTACAAGCTCCTCATGCCTAGCTGCTATATCTATGACCTTGTGACCTTCCCTCTGCATCGACCTCGACCTCGACATGTTTGTGCACTTCTTGCTTATACAACGTAGCAGTCATTTCCCCACTGGCACTCAGGGTCATTGAAGCTGCTTCTGTAGCTACAGGCAGTGACAAGACTGCCTACTTAATGTTCGACATACTGAAGCAAGATTGAAGAATCGCTCCGTCCTTGTGCTACATATAAAATCTCTCTATCTCTCCATGCCGCTAGTAGTAGTGATGCTTGCTTGCTAATGATCTACCAAAGACTTCAAGCTGCACTTCTTCGATTGGTGGCTACAGCAGTGTTCACACTCTTTGGGTACCGTTCTCACATCCTGATGCAAGGTCGTGGAAACAAACCTACACTACACATTGCTCAATACTCTTTGCTAATGTGCCCGCTGCGCCTCCAGCGCTTCAGCTTCTGCAAAACTTCCAGTGCACGAACTCAACAGTCGAACAGGCCCCGTCTGCTGGCGCTTGTAGCCAGCTGTGTGTTCCTTCAGCAAAGGGAGCCAGTACCATGACTCCGTCGAGGGCGCAGCTGCCGCAGGGCAGTCATCATCTGAGCTCCATTCACTGAAGGCACGTATGCGTGCAGCAGCCTTCGCCTCTGCAAAACTGTCCTGCTGTTGAGCGCACAGCCCTTCAACGGCAGCAAGCCAGCTGTCTTCTTCAGCCATGACTGCCGCCTACACTAGCTACAAAGGGCACTGGCCCCATCCTGACAGCCGATTTATAGTTCGCAAGAGTCTGCAAGAGCGTCTAACAACGCAAATTCAGCACGCACTCCTCAGGTCTGTCCTCCAAATGTCTACTTCTGTGTTGGAATCTTACTTTCCTAACACTGGTGTGCAAGCTGCTCTCTCGTTGTATGCCACGGTATTCCAATCCCATTATTTTCCGGTTTTTTTTCCATTGCGCGTTTGATTTCCTCGGTGCCTCGTTTCCATCTGCAATCCCAAAAAAATCCCATTATTTATTATTTCCCGATATAATAGTGTTAACAGGACCGGGACATCATAATGCCATGTGTCAAGGCAGACTAGCCGGCTGCTTGGGAAGCTTGCATGAGTGAAAGATATGTTGCATTGCAGACGCTTGCGGAAGACAGTATTGAAGCATTCATTGGAATAGTTGCACTTGCAATCTTCCCACCCCTGATGCTGCGTGCGTCGTCACAGCTGCAAAACAGACGTCCTCGGCTCTATAACTAATCATCGGAATCGGAACTGCTTGAAGAGGACGAGGCTAAGGACAGTTCATCTTCCTCTGGAAATGCATCCTGCACCTCTTGCCGAGCATCTCGCTTAATGATTGACTGCACCCCGCAGACCCCGCGAGAAGGTGTTGCGGAAAGCTTGGTGAAACTGAGGCAGCCAGACATGCTGGGGGGCACGGGCTCGGGCATGTCGGGCACCACGGCCCAGAGATTGATTGAGACACTCTGCAGCTTGCTCTGCGTGTCAATGCCAAGACGATTCCGGATCGGACAGCGATCCCTGTTGGCAAGCGCCCAGTAGCGTTCGCATTGCCCTTGCGAAGTTGCGCACGACCAGAACTTCTCAGCCATGACAGCCAAAGGCTTTGAAGGTTGTCCACTTCTCCACCACGTGATTACCTGCGCGGGTTGGGCAAGCGAGAGCCAAAATGATTTTAATCTGCCCTTAGAAAATCATTTTCGCTCCCCCAACCCCAGCACCTCTGCCAGCGGTGCATCCGAGTGTGGGAACTCCGCGTCCCTGAACAAGCCTTTCTTCGCGCGGTAGTCGTCCAAGTCGGACACACATGCCTCCTGAACCTCGGTCGAGTCGAAAAACTTCGTGGGTAGAAGCCTTCGTGCCATCACAAAAGCTGCATGCATGTGATCCGGCTCTTCAAGACCAGAAAGAGGGCGTGGGTCAAACACGGCGCTCGCAAGCACTATGTCTGTGACAAATTGCTCTCGCCTTCGCCCATAAACATCTAGAACCGCCTTCTTCCGGAGAGCGACCGTTCCACTGTTCTCGCCGGTGTCTCTGAAGTCGCACGTCTCCAGGGCCTCGTTGAGGCGAGTCTTCAAAAGGGTCCAAACGCCAAGCGCCTCAGGTAGTCTGCCGCAAGCGAAGAGCTTGGAGGCGGAGGTCACCGCCCACAAGACTGGCACGGCACGTCGGACGCGGGCTTCAAGACCGCGGCGTTCAAGCGCCAACAAAGCCCTCTGCAGCTTGTTGCGCTGCTTGACCGAGTGTCCAAGCTTCTCAGGGCCGCCCTCCTTGCGAAGTAGCTCGGCAACTTTTGCCCGGTGTTGTACCCATCTGACGGCCATCGTGGACCACGAGTTGTGGCGAGTTTTTCGCCGGTGTTGGAGAACCAATCCAGAAGCCTGGCGAGGAATGCTGGAATCAAGTGGCTGGGAGAACTGCGTCCCGACGGCATGAAGCAAAACCGAATATGTTTTGAAAGGTTCATCCACTGTACTTACTATACCGGCCGAAGCCATACATCGGAATAAAGACGGTCTTATAAAGAAAGTCTTTGCCGGCCTTGAGTTTCCCGCAAAACTTCTTGGAGCGGCGCACCGTGCGGATTGCAGCATTGACCTCCTTGGTGGCCTTTTCCAACCATGGCATCGCAGCTCGCACGTCTTTGAGTAATAGCTGCATGCCGTGCTCCATGCAGCGTAGAGGGACCGCAAAGTCTGCACGCTCGGCAGCCAGGATGGCAAGTGCGGCCTGCAAGTCCAGGCAAGTAAGAGCGACCAAAATGATTTTCGACACCCGTGCAAAAATCATTCTGACATTCAGAGCTTGTTTCGTTTGCAAATGAATTTTGAAAAATCACACAGCCCTCGATGCGCTTCAACTGGGATAAATCCTGCCAAGGCTTTCAACACCGGAATTGGCCTGAATGTTGGCCGCATTGTCCGCGCAGATTCCGAACACGCTTTTGTGGCGTGTCCATGGCTGAAGCACTTCAGCCAATCCAATCGCCGTACTCTCGCGATCAATCATCGAAATGTGGTCCAAATGGAAGCACCTTCCAAGCTGGACAGGCTCTTGGGCTCAGGTTTGAGGGTTCGGGCATTCACATTATCTCTAAGTCTTTGCACCCAGGCACATGCCGCTGGAATCCATGATGCCGACGTTCAAAAAGCCGAGGCCAGCAATCGTCGCGCCATCGGTGCAAAGACAAAAAGGACCCTTCAGTAGAAGCTTCTTCTGAAATTCCTCCATCTCCGCCGCTGTGGAATCCAAAACATCTCGAACTTTAAACCGGGTTGGGCATTTGTAGTTAGGCGCCAGGTTCTTGAAAAACAGCTTTGTCATGTCTTTTTCCACGGACATAAAGGACTGGTGACTGTGAAAGATGCTCAAAGCGTGTAGTCTCTCAAGACCTTCTTGATCCAGCACAGGCCGAGGCTGCGCATCACCGGGAAGCATTGCTCGCGACTCCGGAGTTTTGAGAAGCTCCCACCAAAGCTGAGCCGCCGGATTCTTCTGCGCGTTCAAGACCTTCAACTCTTGCTGAGTCACATGGCTCGGGTTGCTGCAGGCATTGGTCCTGCTGCCACCATCCTTGTATTTTGCCAGAGCCTTTGCTCTCTTCTCATCATAGTCAAGCTCGCGAGACTCCAAATACTTGTGGACATCTGAGGCATTGGGGTTCGCAAAATGCACGGCATGCTCGACTCCCCTGCACACCCCGGTTGCTGTTGAAGACCAAGAACACCGCCTACAGACAAGCCGTATCTTCTGAAACTTGCGGCTACGGATGCGAACAAAGCGAGACTCCAGAATGGCAGCCGCAGTTGCAGTCACCCCGCGAAGATTCATGGGCAGCACGAGGTCTGCAGAGTCAACCTCATGTCCAATGTTGCGAAGCTCTGCCAAGATGTCATCTGGAATCTTGGTTTCCGCTTCAGCTTGCTCTCCGTCTCCCGTTGCGAGAGACTTTCTCTTTTTCGGCGCCATCGCTCATACTCTGAGCCAAATGCTCTGCCAACGACAAAGATGTTGAGATCGACAATGCGTCACTTCCACTCTGCGACATGTCCCCAGCATCAATCGAAGCAAAGCCTTGCGAAGTTTCTCTCTGCCAGAGACTGAGGGCCGGACCTTCGCGAAAAGATGTAGTAGTCCAGCTCCGCTCCAGACTCCAGCCGTGGCTAGATGATTTTATGGGGTTCGCCAAAAATCATTGAGATTTGAAGGAAATTACAATGTGGGCAACTTCTACTTTATACCCTCTATACTCTATAACATACCCATCCAAATCGCGCGATTTGGCCGAATCCAAAACGCAGCGATTTGAAAACGCAGCGATTTAAACATCTAAGAGCATGGTCTTTGGGCCCAAAAACCTTAATATATGAGTCCTTAGATCCGTAAACCCCATAGATCCCTTTAAAGGAACCCTAATAGCTCCCTTTAAAGGAACCCTTATAGATCCCTTTAAAGGAACCCTATATTTATGAGTCCTTAGATCCTCAGGGAAATTCAGGAGACTAGACCTTGACCTTGAACCAAAGAGCTGAAAGCAGGAAATGGGATTAGGGTTTAGGGTATAGGGTGTTTAGGGTTTAGGGATTAGGGTTTAGGGTTTAGGGTGTTTAGGGTTTAGGGATTAGGGTTTAGGGTTTAAGGTTTAGGGTTTAGAGTCCGATTCAGTGTGCCATCGGTGCTTGACCAAAGGAGTGTGCTGCCATGACGATGCATTTGAGAGACAAGTGCAGTTCGCCATCTCTCGCCGTAAAAGGAGGAGCAGCCGGGAGCAGCTAAAATAGGGTTTGGGGGTCCATTATAGTATACATATAATAAGGAATCCCCAAAACAGTATCTACTATTTGCTTAAGAAACCACCCAAAAAATAAAAATAATAATCCCTATATTACACCCATAAGGAATATACTTTTTATTTTTTGGGGGTTCTTAAGCAAATGGTAGGTATAGGTACCTATATATGCCACTGTGGTCAGTTGTGAAAAAATGGTCTGAGACCAGAAGTTGACCCTATGGCCCGAATCCTCACTCTGGCGGCACGGTCCATGGTCACAAAGAGAGAACACCCCGGTTTAGAGTTTAGGGTTTAGGGTTTAGGGGTTTAGGGTCTAGGGTTTAGGGGTTTAGGGGTTTAGGGTTTAGGGGTTTAGGGTTTAGGGTTTTAGGGTTTTAGGGTTTAGGGTTTAGGGTTTGAGACCAAGTGATTGCGATTGTAAGCCCTTCAAAGCTTGAGATGCATGATAGCAGCCCTAGACGGTTGAAGACCCTACAAGCTAGAACATGCCAGCAGGGCCTTGCCCATGTTGGCCGGCGGGCGCATGCCCTCGCCGGCAAACTCAGGGTCACCCCACGTCACCACCTCAACGGAAGCCGAACCCTGATGAACGCTTAGAGTGGAGCATCTGAAGGTTGAGGGTTCAGGGTCTTAGGGTTAATTAGGGTTTAGGATGCAGGGTGGGATTGAACGGGTTTGGTAGGGCGTAGGGGAGTCTTATGACGATTTACCTAACTCTTCTAAGCTTTCTACAAGGATTTCTGTAGCTCGTTTAAAAATCTCACTACCTCAGTAACCACACAGTACGACTTCCTTGAGAGCCCAATACCACTTGATCAGGGAATATACCTTAAATCACAATATGAAGTCCCCTATAATTTAAGGTATTAAGGGGTATTGGGCTCTCTGGGTTCAGTTTGGGGATCAAAACACCATTCAGAGTGTCCTTCTTCGGAGCTAAAGCAAAAGAGTACTGAGGGTTCGGCGTTTAGGAAACAGGGTTCAGGGTTCAGGAATTACTTGTGGAGTGATGGGACCCGCCAGACGCACAGCACAGCCAGTAGGGTAGCAAGACCCTTCCCTTAAAGGGTCCATGTAGCCAAATACGCCCCAAGAACCCTGATGCTGCCCTTCATGGAACCTTTCTAGGAACCCTAAAGTGATTCCTATTTGGGTACATGGACACTTTGGGTGTGAGAGTCTAGTAGGGTTTGTTAGAGTCCCAGAGCATCGAAGCCGGCGGACAGCCACAACGTCCTAGCTAGATATGGAAATGTTACAGATGCGAACAGGGCTTTGGGGTATATCGTACGAGGGTCAGAATATTAAGGAGCCTTAAGGAAAAGACTTAGTAAGTATGCCGGCTTCTAGTCGACCCTTACACCCTATCCCAAGCTCTGCGGCTGAAAACCCCGCACTGCAAACCACGACGCAACAAAGCCGAGGCGCAGAACCATCGTCGCTAATGGCTGTGAAGGTGCTGTAGGAGTTCCTGAAGAAGTGGCTTTCGGCTACAATGCGGCTGAGGGTTGTAGGGTTTGGGGTCCTCCCCAGACCCCAGGCCCAAAATCATCAAATCATTCTCTATCCGTAAAATTGCATCGTCTTGCGAGCAGGAACTTATGGTTGAGGGTGTCGGCGTTCTGGAGCCTAGCTCCCTCTTTGGAAAAATACCTACAAGTAGGTCATTAAGGAAGGGCTTACCATGTAGAAAAAGACAGATCGTGTAAGGCGTCAGGCATGATACTCCGATGGTCGAACAGAAGTTCATGTAATTCCGCCCTCAGACTATCTTGGTGTACGAATAACTGGGGCTTCAGATTTTCACATTGGGGCCACGTATTGGCTTGAATGTATGCCTCCTCGAAACATCGAAATGATGTTTTCAGTGTTTTCTACCACTGGCTGGGGTCTGGGGTGCTGCTGATCACGTAGAAAGAATGGTCGTTGTTGTTCTACCGTTCTATACCTTGGGCATACCTTGCTGACAAGGCTTACGCAGTCAACATGCACAACGCCATCAGTGTGAAATGACCATACCCTAAGGGTCCATGTCTCCACATAGAGATACATGGGCCCCAATGTACCTATATAGGGACTACATTAAGGCCAATGTATATACTATATGTGTACATGGACCCTTAGGGATAGTCACAGTCTACATTTCCCTAAAGCCCAGCGGCCGGGATAATCACTTTTCTACTATTTGCTTAAGAACCCACAAAAAATTAAAAAAATATTCCTTATGGGGGTAATATAGGGATTATTATTTTTATTCTTTGGGGGCTTCTTAAGCAAATAGTAGTTTTGAGGCACCAACAAACGGTCCTTTATTGCTGTAGGGTGTTGGTTTCAACCGAAACCAGAATCGTTGCACTTCTAAGTCTACACACCTCGGCAAAACAAGCCTTGCGTCATGCAGCGTCTATGCATAATATAGGGGCCTTAATAATTAGAACAGGGTTTTGGGGTCCGTTATAATTTCAGTATGAGGAGCCTCCCAAAACAGTATTGGTACTGATTGAAGCCCCTCTTGTACCCCCCTGCCAATCCAAAAGTCTGTGGCATTTGGACTTATCGTGCCCAAAACCCTCCACCCTGAACGCCTAAAACCAAGAACCTGAAGCCTTACAACCGGAAGAAAGCTCCGTTAGCCCTAAAGCCTCGACCCCAAACCCGCCTAAGCCCAGGAGACTTGTATCGCCAGCCAGAGATCAGTACCCAAACCCCCAAAAAAGGTGACATAACGGCCCAACACCTATAAAAGGCTATATTCTGCAGATATCCTCAATCCCCAAGGCCCCTCAATACGGTATCATCACGACAATAAGGTACCATCGCCTAAAAAAATAAAAAGAAAGCCTTGCCTACTAGACCCCCAACTACCCTCTAATATACCCCAACATACTCACTATTAAGGGCCATTAGGGTTCTATTAAAGGGCCCGTTAATAGGCTTCGGGTTTAGGGCTTAGCTCTCGGGCTTAGTGTTTTCAGCCGAGGAGGCTGTATGCAGCGCACGTGCTGAAGCCGCTGTGCGAAGGCTTTGCAGTCGCCTCCGTAGTCTTGATGCCCCCACGCCACCTCAGAGTAAGTCTGATAATGCGGCATTCTATTCGAACAGGGTTTATGGTCTACTATGACGACAATGAGCGCTGGGGAATGCTAGTAATATTGGATAACTATTCAGACTTCCCCTGAGGGTCCATGTACTCATATAGTATATACATTGGCCTTAATGTAGTCCCTATATAGGTACATTGGGGCCCATGTATCTCTATATGGGTACATGGACCCTTAGGGTTCTATAACACTACAACCCTAAACCTTGTGAATGACCTGTGGCTGCTCAGGAGCAACGGTTCCATCCTCGATGAGGGCGGCCATGGCGCTCTCTGTCGCCTGGATGGCCTTGACAGACCTTGGGCGTAGGGTTTTTTTTCGGTTTAGGGTTTAGGGTGTAGGGTGTAGGGTTTAGGGTGTAGGGTTTAGAGTTTAGGGGTCGTCTGCAGGAGTACGTACTATGCGGGTTAGGATCCTGTAAGGTACTTACTAACATCAGGATTCCTTTCAAGCATGCTATACAGTTTAGGGTTCCGTTAATGCTGTTCTACACAGTTTAGAGTTCCTTTCCAACTAAGTATTATGGGTTAAGGCCAACTTATCTACTTACTAAGAACCCACTATTATTGGTACTTGGACCATGTGGATTTAGGAGGTTTAAGGCGTTCCGGGATCAGGATTCAGGAAAGCTTTTGGGCAGGACTTAATGCGGGCTTAAAGTCTAGAGCCCTCAATCATATAACCAAAAACGATAGAAACGAAGTTAACACTACAGGTCCTGAAGCCCTCCATCAGCCTTGTAAGACACAGCGAATCTTTCCAACCCAAACTCGAGTTTACGGCCTACGGTTCCGGCCAGAGCACACTGCGCCTTACCAAAGACATGCAAACACAAAGACACCTAGTGGAACACCTCGAACCCCAGTGCCTCAGTCCTGCTCCTTTTACCCCAAGGGTCCAAAGGACCCAATAACTAGGTTCTTGGTTTTAGGATAGTAGTTATGTAGGTTCGGATTTTGGAGGGTATATGATTATCGTGTACTTGGACCCTTGTGGTAAGCTCAAAAATCCCTAGGCCGACGACCGAACCACTGAATCCAGCTCCGAGCACCAAAAAGGCAAGGTATCAGATCATAATTCTCTGAAGGCTTTCTGGCACCCGACACCCGACTAGTTGGACCCTGCACCAACTCTGGAAAGAAAGATAGAAAGAGCTACCCTCATCCTAACTATCTGCAACCCGCAGTGTTCCGACAGTTGGTCCCGTGGGAACAGCCTTGTTTTGGAAACCTCAAGTAACCAAAACCACCTGATGTACCATACCATGCCTTAACCGTACATATCATATACCCCCAACACCCTAACTGGAGGATCATGGGACTTCGTAAGTAAGGTTATAAGTGCCCTAATTGGGGTTATAAGCATAGTTGCCCTAACAATAACTCAGTTACTCAGACCCATGATCCTTTAAGTAGACTTGTCTCCGGCGAATTTAGCCTGAAACATATTTGCATATGGGTGGTTGTCAAAATTAGGGTCCCTTGTCGGGTTCTATTCTAGTACTTTTACGTAATCTCCAAAGTACCATCCTAAACCCAAAGTCCTCGGTTATCGTCTCCTCCCGGCCCTGCAGAGAAATATAGGGGCCTTGATAGCTTGAATAGGGTTCCTTAAAAGGGATCTATAAGGTATCTACTATAGTAGGGGTCTATGATATAAAGGCCTAAATAATTCGAATAGGGTTTGGGGGCCCATTATACTATATTTTTAATACGCAATCCCCAAAAACAAAAATATAGGTAATTATCAAGGCCCCTGTAGTACTTACTTGTCTGAGCGTGTCCCCACACTCTCCGCTCCTTAAGGACGAAATGAACCCTAAAAGGGTTTAGGGTTCATATACCATATAGGGATTCATAGTATATGGGTATAGGGCCCCTACTTTTAAGGATCCTTTGGTCCTTCAGGCTCCGAGGAAACTCACAGAGCCGGGGTGCGTCAGCTGGTGCTGAACCATGCTGCAGTCACCACCGTATTCCTTGAGGTCTGCGTTTCTCTAAAGTAAAAGCCAGAAAGTTGGAATATGATTATCCTAAGCCCTTCATGGTAAATTATAGGGGATCCTACCATTAATCCATATTCCAACTTTCTGGAGTTCCCCTTAAGGGTTCTGCTGTACCCCAAGGGTCCAGGTATCTCTTTAGGGGGGTCTGGAATGTCCTAGGGAGGGTCCTTGGGTCTCTTTGGGGTCTCTGAAGCCCTCAGTTTTGAAGTTCCCCAGTTTGTTAGGACCCTTAGGGTAGGGTATCTATGGGGTTCTACGTATCCTACCATACAGGACTTTGGCCAAAGACCCTCTTGTATGAAACTTCTCTATGCCTGCCATAGGACGGTGATGCTTCACAGCGCGAAGAAATCATCACAGGAAGCCGCTAAACCTTGTAAACCTTCGCAACCCTCAATGCGTCTAGTTTCGGATGGGCTGTGGTCTAGCTCAGGTGTTCGGCTGATGGTTCCTGATCTACTTTTCGAGACACCCAGACCCGCAAAAAGGTATAAGAGGTTTCAGAAAGCTGGGGCCCCTCTACAAATGTCTACATATACAGCTTTAGCTAAATAGGTACACAACTAAACATGCATATATGACATATTTGTAGTGTGATAGCACAGAAGAGAATAGAATATCATATAATGCAAACTATAATAGAATGTAATATAACATAGTGTAAAAATGCGTGGGGGATTGATCTCGACTAGGTTGCTGCTCTCCCCACCAGAGCTGTAATGAATGTAGGTGTGGCTGGCTTGCACTCTCCACAGACTGGACCCTGTCTCTCTTACACTTCCACGCGTGCAATCCTATGCAGGCAGAACCGGCGGCCGTTCCTTTTGCACTCACTGCCGGCGGCGGTTCGTCTGTGCAACGGGATAGCTCTGATTGCTCAGGATAGAAGACACTTATAGCACTTAGCTATGGGCATTGACTTGAGCCAAACGTTGCGTGGGCGGTCACATAGAAAGGTAAAGATGAGGGACGCGTAGCGTGCCCCCTTAGAGTCGAGGGACGCGTAGCGTGCCCCCTTCTCTTGCACTTTACACGGTCTTGCTCACAGCTCTTATAGTGACACCTTAGAACTTGACAAGGCATCGCAGTCCGTTCGCACCCCCCATGAGTTGCGTCTCCGACGCTGCTCACCCGGAAGATGGCACGATAGGACAACAGAAAATGTTCCGCCGCAACGTTGACATTGAAAATCAGAGCTTTGCATCCCAATTAGAAACGTTGTGACACTCATCTACGTCAGTAACGATCCCCTGAAATGGCAAACGAATCAGGCGTCACCGAAGAAAGAAGCATTCGCGATGGCATTCCATGGGCGAAGCTCAGAGGTCACGAACTGATAGGCGAGGAAGACCAAGCGTTGATTCATCTCCATCTTCGCGTGGTCGCAGGATCGCGGTCCCAGGGCCGGAGGTTTTCCTCTGGATACTGTTCCCTTTGCTTTCCTTTGTCCTTGCCTTTGTTTCGGCCTTTGCCGGCGGTGTAGTCATAGTAGGTGTTGGCGTTCCAGCCTCCATGCTGTTCACCTCCGGCTCTCTCACGCCCCTTTGAAGGTCCCTTGGCCGAAGAAGCGCTTGCACGTTCCTCCGTAGTGACAGGCGTGTCCAGGATGGAAGTACCACCTGGAGGGAGATAGTCAGCGGCCGAAATGTGGTGTAGGGCTTCAGTACGCTTGGTCGTCGGGTTTTGCTGTCTCTCAGCCTTGGATCTGTTCAATCTGTCCATGAAATGCGCAGGCATTTGCACATTGTGGTCCACCAGCAATCCGATGGTCTGGACTGAATGATCGGAATGAGTCAGCAGGATACCGACGGGGTCGATGTACAAGAAGTCCACCGGTCCAGTTGGTGTTGGTCGTAGCACTGAGAATTGTTGGTGTCCCGTCACCATCGGAATCACCTCGCACAGGACGTTCAGGCAACAAAAGTGCATAGCCTTCACATCTTCATCCCTGTTGCTCTTCAAGTACGTAGTAGGGTTGAAGTTGTCCCTGCCAATTCCCATCATGTTGGCTCCCCGTGTAATCAACGAAAGCATCTGATTCGTCCGGAAGCGCTTCAAAGTGTAAGTCCCGTTGGGATCATACTGCTTGAAGTTCTCAGGTTCCTTGGCAAAGCGAATGATCTCCTCATCAGTCACATCCCTGCTCACACCAGTCTCTCTGTCCACTACAGCCAATGATCCCCATTTTCCAAGCACATCATAACGTTGGCCAAGTGCGAAGTTCTCTTTCATCTGAAACAACGGCATAGTAGCCCACTTCGCGAAGCCTGACCAAGCCTTGTAGATGGTCCTGCATACCACGAAAGCCATGTACGAAAGAGCGACCATGTTGGCGTCGATGCAATGGGCATTTCGCTTCCCTGAGTAGTAGGATGGCTGCATGGCGGTACGTGCAAGTTGTAGCTCAGGATCGATGTTCAAAGACTGGCCGGTGATGAAGACGGGACGGCGTTCCTGTGCAACTGCATCTGGTACTGCGTCATCAAAGTCCTCTCCTGGCTCTATGTCCATTTCTTCATCAGGTTCCTGTTCTGGATCGTCCTCCGCGATGACAGATGGTTCTGGGATTTCCTCAGGTTCCGCAACGGTCTCTACCTCCATGGCTTCCTGCTCCTCTTCGGGCGCCTCAGGCACTGCTGCTGCCGCGGCTTCCATTGTCTGAGCAATGAAGTCACTGGGGATCTCCGTAGGAGTCTCCCGTTGTGGAGAACCTTGGTAATATCCGCTAGAAACGAACTGTGACCAGCAAGACGTGCATCGGGAGAAACATGCTGGAACGATGTTGTAGCATGCCGGGCACACCCTCATTCTCCTTCCATCCTCGTCTCTGCGTAGGTCTTCGGGTCGCCAATTCTTGATGACAAACTTGATCCCTTTGTCCATGTAGTGATGCCGAACCGTGTTCTCCCTGTGGGACTCCAGGACAGTCGTAAGGTCTCGAATGATCTGCTCCTTGCTGGTGTCGTGGGGTCCAGGAGGCATCTCGCAAAGCAATTCCATGATCTTGCTCGGCGTTCGGTATCTCTCGAACTCAGGGAGCAACGGTGATGCATTGTAGTCCAACACCAGCTCTTTCTCCAATCGTTCATCGTAGATCTTTTCCACCAGAGCGAAAGAGTGTGTATCTTGAGGATCCGGGACGCAAAACCATACCTCCTTGACGAAATGGAACGGTATCGTCCGGCCAACGATCATGATGCCGCTGTCTGTGATACGTCCATCTTCTCGTGCAAGGTCCTGCGATGGGACATGGAGGACCGCCAGTGGCATGTGCTTGGCATCTCGTCCATGCACCCGCATCTTGGTCGTCGCGTTCCGGTGATCGAACGGTGCAAACACCCCCCAATAGCTGTGGAGTCTGCCGCCTTGGTTGCCTCGAAATTGGCGCCTGTGGTCGAAGTCCCCGTCGGGGTCCTCCGAACCAGGCATGATGCCTTGCGTGACAATGGAATCCAAGTTGCGACATGCTGTAGCGTGGAACGCTCCTCCGAGACGTTGCAAGAGGGTCATGGATGGAGATATTGCGAACCTGTTCTTGTCCAACTGAAGCAAATTGTTCTGGGGATCCGAGTGCGCAGAGTGACCACTTGTAGCCCGAACTGCCCATGGCTTCACCCAGCCGTTGCAAACGTTCAGGTACCTCTGGTTGTGCCGGCAACGATCATTGTTCTGGATCTCCGTGATCTGGTCAGGAACCGATACCAACATGTTCGAACCTGCGGATCCAAGAGTTTCCACGCCGGGGTCCTTCACTCTCACTCCCAGGAACTGCAACCGAATCTTGGCCTTGTGGCGTTTCGTGGCTGCGAGCATGTTCCCTTGGAACAATAGCTGAAGTCTTTCATTGTACACTCTCTTCCTCTGTTGCTCATCGGACCATGAGACCGCTTCGGTGATGCGTCTGCTTTCATGGGTCCATAGTTGCTCATGCCTCACCAAGTCTTCGATCAGCACCCACCCTCCTTCATCACATCGAATGACGCTGCTGAATGCTACCTGGCACCTGTTGTCAAGCCATTCCGAGCCTGGGCGCCTGGCGATTCTGTGACGTAGGTCAGATTGGATGCATGATAGCGCCCAATCCGCGTTTAGTCTGCGCTGACGGGTGATGTTGCGAAGGACAACTTCGTTCACGATGTCCCATCGATTGTTGATGAAGCTTGCACCCTTGGTTGGGATCAGGTCGAGAATCCCGCACCGGATTGGCCTTCCGCCGCCGATGCATTCATAGCCTGCATTGGTGTAGCCCTGAGTGGTATCGTCAAAAGCAAAGCTAGGACGGTCTCCTCGTTGAGGTAGGCGTCGGTCGCGATGGTCCGAAAGCTGCTCAATGAGGTCCACCACCCGCTGGCTATTCTCTGGTCCTGATTCCTGCAGTGGTACGCCACAAGCATCATGTAGGCCCCGACGGTTTTCCACATCCGTGCAGAGATTGTGTTTGTTCTCATAACGGATCAAGACCACATCACCCCGTACGGCTTCGCCTCCGCGTCGCGGTCGGGCTTTGGCCTTGGGTCGTCGGTCCGAGGATGCAACACTCACATGGTCTGTGGTGTCAACGTCCATTGGCTCAGCCTCTTGTGGAGGTACTCGACGTGGATATCGAAGAAGGCTTTCCTTGATGATCTGGATGCCTCGAAGTACCAGATCCCGGGTTGCAGAATTTTCCGTGCAATTGGACAGAGTGTGTAGATCACTGCCACAAGCGATACAGAACGTGAGGCGGTCACTTCCGACCGACATTTCGCCTTGAGCGAGCACTCCCACATAGTCCTGAAGCTGTGCGACAAATCCTTCACGAATCGCCTGCCTGGGATCAGGGCCTTCTGCACCTTGTTCTTCTTCGGGTTGCGCATCCACATCTACATCCTGTGCAGGTATTGGTGGAGCAACGGAGAACCCTGGATCGTCCGTGACGTTGTCAGCGGCCTGTGTCTCGTCGGTTCTCGCAA